TACTATCTGACTACTGTCACTAGACTCTGAGATCCTTGAGACCAGAGCTGTCCTTCTCTTGTACACCTCAAAACACATGATGAGCACAATGCCTCCTGGCACATCATTTCTGTGGTGGTGACCTGGGTAGGTTACACGAGTTCCTCATAGATGGCAAATAAGTCATAACGGGTTTGGATGCAAGGAAGACAAAAAAATAGGAGCTGCAAATAAAAGGGGTTCTTCAGTCCATTCTCTCGGATTACCGTGAAGGTTATAGGGCTGAAATATGAGTTGAAGTATGAGATGATTAGAATGAAGGCCTCCAAGTGTGGTACTAGCTCTCTAGGGCCCCAGGCACAGCCAGGCGGGTGAGAATAATTTCACCCAATACTTCAGAGGGCGTTTTATTTATGTATGGTTGTATATATGTATGTATGTATGTATGTATGTATGTATGTATGTCTATTTTTGAGAGAGAGAGAGAGAGAGAGAGAGAGAGAGCACAAGTGGGGGATAGGCAGAGAGAGAAGGAGACACAGAATCTGAAGCAGGCTCCAGGCTGTAAGCTGTCAGCACAGAGCCCAATGCAAGGGCTTGAACCCACAAATCCTGAGATCATGACCTGAGCTGAAGTCAGACACTGAACTGACTGAGGCATCCAGGCGTCTCAGTTCAAAGGACATTTTAATGCCTTAGTTCTTTATGGTTCTTTTTTGGGGGAAATTTTAAGTGATTATATACAAGTAAAGTTTTCCCCTGCTTGCTAAATTACATTCAATTACATAGGTGAATTAAAGTCATATAGGCAGCTTTTGATTAGTCCTATCAACTGAGAGGATTATTTGAGATACTGTAAAAACAATATTTTGATCCATAAAATGGAGCTCTGTCCTCCCCCTGACAATCATGGATCTGTCTGGTGCTAAGCAGATTTAGAGCTTTTCAGAATAATGAAGAAATGTTGGCGATCGTAACAGTCCAATAAAGAGGGCACGCTCTGAGTGGGGAAGCTGGTGTGGGGCCAGGAGGATATTGTTAATGAAAGAAAGCCCTGCAACAGAGCATCTGAAATTTGGTAATCTTCGGAGGCATTGAAGTCAGCTTCTTAGTATTACCAAAAAAACGGAGAAAGATTTTCCAGGCAGAGACTAAGCTTCCCAGTCAGTGTCAAAGGAAGCATGCTCTGGAACAGATTTGAGTGGATATTATATTGCTCTCTCAATCCTGTCTTTCAATAATACCAGCCAGTTTTTGCCAGATCATGCACACTGATAGGTGCGAATTTGAGTCCTTGCTGAGTAAGTCTGCTATCCGTGTCTTTCCACAGAATGAAGAAGAAAAAGTCTCTGCAAGAGAAAGAACCAAGTCACAAAACCAAATTGTTAAAAATTGCTGATGTAGATGTGGAGTCTCTTAAAGACTTCAGCTCTGAGTACTATTTGTCTCTGAGAGAACTCACAAGGAACTCAAATGGAAATGGTACTTTTCTTGGAATAGAGTCTGAATTTACGGACTTAAATAACATGAAAATATATTAAAAGTCAGGAATAAGTGAGCCAGTATTTTTAAAAAATTTTTTTAAATGTTTATTTTTGAGAGAGAGAGAAAGAACAGGGGAGGGGCAGAGAGAGAGGGCAACACAGAATCCGAAGCAGGCCCCAGGCTCTGAGCTCTCAGCACAGAGCCTGATGTGGGGCTCAAACTTGTGTATTGCAAGATCATGACCTGAGCCAAAGTCAGACACTTAATTGACTGAGCCACCCCAGCGCCCTGAACCTGTTTTCAAACTCATGATTCTTGCAGAAGGTTCAGGATGGCTTAAATGAGTATAAAGACACAAGTCCCAACATTTTTCCTGCCTGAGTAATTTATCCTCTGATTTGTGACGACACTGTGTACATGTTTGCATGCTCCTTTGAGCGAATTCACAGTGCCAAGCCGTAGTTTATGATTTCTATGATTGTCACCCCTGATTGACCACCATTAATAATTAGAGACTTATTTTTAATCGACCATGGTATCCGGCCCTGGAATCTGATTTTAGAAAGCTCAGTATTTTTTAAGAAAAACCTCAGACTGTTGCTTCCGGGGGTATGTATACTAAGAGTAATAACTAAGGCACGCTTTTATTAGGAGTGAAGACAGCCTGAACTCTAATGGGAGGCCCACGATAGAGAAAAACAGAAAGTACCATTAGACCGTAATCCCACAGTCATGTCCTCCAAGTAGAAATGTTCAGTGTGCTCACTGTTAGCCGTCTGCGGCGAAAGCGTGACGGGGGGGCATCTGAGAGCAGCTTGCTGTAGGACTCACGGATGTTTTGAAGAGGTCGGATGACCTACATCTAACGACCTAGCAGGCAGTCTGCTGGTTTTATGTGCATAATTGTGTTCAAACATCATAAAAGAAAAGCTGGTGGTGGAAATCCAGGATATCCTTTTTAGGTGGATTGCATGGTGTTTAATGTAGGCATCTTTTATAAAACCGTGAACTTTGCACTCTTGGTCCGGCCAGCTCTTTTTCATCAGTGCACTTCAGCCTTGAGTCCTTTCGGTCCAGTGTTTTTGTGCAGGCTGAAGGTGTTTTGTTGCACTTTACCCCAGTCTTCTGTTTCTGCCATCGCCACTAGTGGGAGCGGTTGGAGAAGATTCTTGTTTACGGGAGCATAATTAGTGCTCTAGTGCGGGATGATGTGCTGCGCCCTGTTGTTGTACTCACTTCAGCTGTCACCTGGGTTTCCCAGAGAAGGCAACACGACAGTGAGAAAAGAAGGGACCACAGGGCAGCATGTGTTGTGTGCATCACTTCTTCCCAGCTGTGAACACAGGCTGTGAAATTGCCTCTGTAGCCAGATCTGAAAATGAGCGAGTGGACGGTACCTTCCTGATCTTCTGTTAGGGTCGCTTCCTGCTTCCCCAAGCTGGCAGTCAAGGTCACTCTTCCATTACCATTACTGTGACTCAGATCATGGGAGAGATCCTGTCCTGCCCGGCTGGGAGTTCAGTCAGTGATATGGCACGTAGAAACAGGCGAGGCAAAACTCGGGACAGACACAGGTGGTGGGTGCATGCCAGATGCTGTCAACAGCGTGGTGTGGCCTCGAGACCTGAGTCTGGCCCTGCACCTCCTTTGGGGGGCAGGCTGGGAAGGGAGCCCACCTCGGACCTGCCTTGTCCCTTCTCGCCCTCGCCCCCCGCTTTTCTGTCTCAGCTCTTCTGTGGATTCTGCATGACCAAAAGAGACCCCTCCCACTTGGGCTTCATTTTATCCTGAAAACCACCATTAGGCTGGGAATGGCATCCATCAGTTTTTGCCTTGCAGTGGAAGTCTGTGGGCCAAAAAAGCTTGAGGATCACTTCTTTAATTAAGAAAAAAACCCTATTCTTCAGAAAAAGCATAGGCAAGCATGAGAACACACAGCCCCTAACGTTTTGGCATACTTTTCTCATTCCTTACTTGTTTTTCTGGGTGAGTGTTCCTCCCCTAAAAGGATTTCCTCTGGCCCTCCACAGTAAGTGATTTCCTTTCTTGTTCTCTGTAGCATTATTTGTCCCTTTGTGTGGGGACATCCCCTAAGCAGCAGCTGCCTTGTCTATCTTTGTATTTGCTTAAGGCATCAGCAGAGTACTGTGACCAGCCATATAGGAGGTGTTTATTGTTTATTAGCAATCTATCACTAAATGATGTTATTTTGTATTTGTCTCCCACTAGATTGTGGTGATAAGCAAGATAGCACTTATCTAGCACGGACTTTTCACGGGCTCTGTAGAGGAGGAAAAATTTAACCTCTTTCCCCCTCTACTCTTCGAGGTTCTCAGCTGAGACCCTATAAATTAGACTGACAAAAGATGCTTTAACAGGAGAAAAACAGTTGGTCAACCTGAGCATCATTCATACACGTGGGAGCACCCAGTGATGAGTAACTCAAAGAGCCAGTTAGAACTTGGGCTTATATGGCATCTTAACAAAAGAACAATACGCTCACAGGTGACAAGACAAGGGACAGGGCTTCTGAGCTCCTAGGGCGGCAAATTGTGGGAAGGCAGATCTATGGAGGAAGTAATGGAAGGCAGGGCTAGTTAGTAAAGTGTTACGGAGAGCCCCCTGGTGCCATTTGTGAGCTGATCAGAGTGTATTGTTGTCTCTGGTGGTTAACTTCTGTCCTTCTTGGTAGGAGGGGTAGGTGGCACAGGGGACATCTTTACAAATTTATGTCCTGCTTTTAGGCAAATGGGGAAGGGCAGAGAGCTTTTCTTGTATCTTCTCAGTTGCCTTCCACTCAAAATAATCCCCATGCCCAAGTGGCCTCTTTGGGAATGGCACATTCTGCTGATCTTCAACACCTTGTATGTGATTTGCAAGTAGATGTTTATGAAATGGAATTAAACTGAAAGCAAAGGCAACCTTCCATTTTCTAACCAGAGTCTACCTGAATAATTTACCCTGTGTGGGGTGCCTGGGGAGATCAGTCGGTGAAACGTCCGACTTTGGCTCAGGTCATGATCTCGCGGTTCGTGGGTTTGAGCCCCACATTGGGCTCACTGCTGTCAGCACAGGGCCCACTTCAGATCCTCTGTTTCCCTCTCTCTCTGCTCCTCCTCTGCTTGCACTGCCTCTCTCCCTCTCTCAAAAATAAATGAACATTAAAAAAATAATAATAAATTACCCTGTGCAACAGAATAAATAGATGGAAAGCTCTGTGAGCCTTAGAGCCCAGAGGAAAGATACTGGTTGGTTCAGGAGGCGTGGGCTCTGCAGCTGGCTTTGCCTCTGACTCGCCTGCAGGGATCACTTCCTCTTCCTTTCGGGAGACTGGGGAGATACAATCAAGTGATGGCCAGAAAAACACTTTGAATAGAGTTTAAGGCGTTATGCAGATACAAGGTGTTCTTATTTCCTCTGCAAGCTGCAGTGGCAATTTCTGATGAGCATTAGTAAAGGTTGGCTTGTTAGGTCTTAAATACTGTTTACTCCCCAAAAGAAGTAAGCTGTAATGCATGTGTAATGCTTCCTCACAGGTATGAATTAGGAGCTGCTCTGTTTATTGGATGGGCGGGAGCCTCACTCTGCATAATTGGTGGTGTCATATTTTGCTTTTCAATATCTGACAACAACAAAACACCCAGGTATGAAAAAGAGATAAAAATGACCTGTTAAAGTTACTACACGTGCGGCAGGTTCTAGATCGCTCACATGATTCTTAGACACGTCGAAAAACAAAACACAACAAAAAAGAAACTTCAAAAAACTAGAATTGGCAAAAGTGAGGAATATATAGTGAATATAATATTCAATATAATAAATATATTGAATGGAATAAATATATACTTCGTTAAAGTTAGTTTAAAAAACAGAGCTCATCATTCTTACATTCCAAAGCTATTTCTGTAAGCAGAAAGACGGGTTTTATGACAGGGTGTGGTGTATTCTTCACCTTGACCTCGTCATTTTCACACGGGCAGACATTACTGATGAAGGTCACTAGGGTCCCCCAGGGTCCAGGAAGAGGAGTTTTAAAAGAGAAACAACAAATGAACAAGCCATGAGTTTCCTCTGCTGAGATTCCCGTGGTCCCGCTCACTGGTCAGAAATGGCAGTGAAATGTTTGGGGGTACAAGAGAGAGTGCTAACTAAAAGTAGTCAGGGAGGCTCTGAAACTTGGCTGGGACAGAAGTGGGGGAAATGGTTTCTACCCTCCGTGTAAAAAAACGGGATCTCCGGTGTTTTGCCTTGCAGAATGGGATACGCATACAACGGGGCCACATCTGTCATGTCTTCTCGGACGAAATATCCTGGCGCAGGAGGAGATCTTAAAACCACAAACCCTTCAAAACAGTTTGATAAAAACGCTTATGTCTGAAAGGAAAACCACCGCGAGCTGTCTTTACTATAAAAGTGAACTGTTCACAGATGATCCCCGCAAGGCCCTCCTGTAATTCACACTCAAACTATTTTTAAAACATGAATTTGGAGAATTTGCTGATTGTATGGATGTAAATGTTCTTACACAGTTATATACTAATCATTTTCTGTTGTGGCTTTCTATAAGAAAATAAACAGGTTATTTACAGGATTTGTATATATCTGATACATTTATAGAACATGCATTTAGCACCGAAGGATCAAGGATTTGTAACGTATCCTTAATCATTCAGACGTTGCAGTTTTTGCCCCCATTCCTTCTTTTCCTTCATATATTAAACAGAACGGGTATTAAGGAGTGGTATCTTGTGAACAGTGTGGGGGCAATCCGAGCCTGTTCCTCGAAAGATGCGTGGGTTGATGGACAGGTTACATACAGTCTGCGTAGCATTGACTTGTGGTTTCTTACGCCTGTCACTACTGCGACTCTCTGTGAGCACTCAAGGAAGGGCTCCTGCCCATTGCCTGGCATGTCCACCTTCAATAACTGCTTGGGTGTCTCTGTAGAAAGCAGGTTCTGGAGCGGAGCATCAGCACGAGCTGAGTGAGAGATGCTGATCACGCCTGACTTTGGAGCCCGCAGAGGAAGGTCCTGGAGCCTGGGTGGCACCTGCTTTTGCAACACAGATGTGCCAACTTGATTTAAATTTGGGGCTCACTTGGCAGAAGTCCACCCCCTTCCGTCAGGAGTGAAGATGTGGCAGACACGGAGCTTGGAGCCCAGGGAAAGCCTGCTCTTGTCACTTCCTAGCCGTATGGCCTCCGGCAAGTTACTTAATAATTCTTCTTTTGTCACATCTTTTTTTTTTTTAAGTTTATTTTGAGAGACAGCGCGCACAAGTGGGGAAGAGGTAGAGAGAGAGCGGGAGAGAGAGAATCCCAGGCAGGCTCTGCGCTGTTAGCACAGAACCTGAGGCAGGGCTCAAACTCACGAACCGCAAGATCATGACTTCAGCTGAAGTCGTATGCTTAGCCAACTGAGCCACCCAGGGGCCCCTCCTTTTGGCACATCTTCAGGATGAGGATTATGAAGTTGTTCTGATTAAAGGAACTAATGATGCATGTTAAAAAAGCAAAACAGACCCAAGGTCTGTTACATAAGTATCTGTTAAATAAGTATGTTAAATAAGTATCTGTTTAAATAAGGGTTGAAATAACACAGTGGCCCCTGTGCCTTTGCAGGCAGGACTTGGCTTTTGTGTGTTGCTTATCTCTGTCCTACTACATGAAAATTTGATTGAAAGCACTTACATACAAAGTGAGTACATCTGCATAAAATGGCCTGGGGGAAGTGTTAGAAAGGGTGCAAGCAGACAAGTGAAAGGGACCCCTGAGGAAGGGGCGAGGAAGGGGCGGGGAGGGGCAGAAGCATAATAAATTGTTGTGACTTTAGATTAGGCTGTTGTGGCACAGCTAACAGGGCAAGCCTAACCCCCCGCCCCCCCATAAAGTAAGTTTAGCTCAGAACTGTCTTTAATGAGTAACTCAGCCACAGTCACAGTGATGTAATGGAGGCCTTTACTTAAAAGGTTGGCAAATTGAAAAAGACATCAAAACCCAACAGACCATTAGTTAAAATGTTACCTTTTTTTTGGAAACAAGAGTACACGTAGTACCACAAAGTACAAAAAATGGAAAAAACAGTTTATATGAACTTTGTGACCATTGACAATTGTTAAGAACAGAACTAATAGTTTTGAGGTATTTTATAATATGGGTTGGGCATTTGAAAAAAGGGGGGAAAAACCCTACATACACATATGAATTCAGTAATGACCCAATCTTTTCATATTCTGATAAATTGACGTTTAAAACAGTTACATTTTATTCATAAAATATCCAAGGTAAATGTTATACTGCAGAAATGGTGTTTAAAGTTCTAAAATAATTGTTTAATAACAACATGCTTACAATGGCTCAAAGCTGAGTCTGGTACAGGTACTTCTGGAAAATGTATTTAGCGTGGGCCTAGCTATATTTTTATAATTCTAAACTTATTTCTATATGAAAAATAACCAGTCTACTCGTAAGATTTCACTGATTCCACTAATTCCGTTTTAAGCATACTAACAGAATTTTATAATAAATCACTTCCAGTGTGACAATGTATATAAGAAAGGTACTTTAAAAAAAAGCTTTAATTCGAACCCAAACTGGCTATGTTTTAAAAAAATTCACTTAAAAATTAGTCGAAAAAATGCGCTTAAACACTAGAGTACCGCTCTGAAGAGAAAACTTTTTATGATTTCAATGACACATTATTTTTAAGCAGCAGAAGTCTTAAACACCTTTGTATGCTTCGAAATACTGTTGACAGTTTTTGTTTTCAATACTGAATTAGGTGCTGTTAAAGAGACCCTTGTTCTTTGAATCTGCTTCCTTGTTCTTGTGGGAAATACCGTAGGGCAGGAGCGTTAAGGATCCTGTGGGCAGATTACTGAAATCCTGTTGGCGTCTGGACCTTCTTACTCCGGGGCTGTAGTCACACATCTGAAGAGTCACTCCAGTCAGTCACAGTTACTAAGCTGCTTTTCAACGTGCTTGATTCATCTTGAAGTCCTGTGGGGGGAGGAAGAGGAGGCCTGAGTGATCAAACCAGCACATTGAGGAGCCTGTAAAACTCCGAAACTTGGGTGTCTGAGTCTGTTCACCCATCCGCAGGCCCCAGCGTCCGCAGGCTGTGGAGGAGGCTGGGTGCAGTCTGGCCACGGAATGGCCACGTCTCCGGGACACCCTCACTGGACCCCTACGTGGAGCTTCCACTCAGCATCTCTCCTTCCCTGCATTCAGCACAGGGTCTGGATCCTGACTGTGCTCGATAATGTTTTGTCACTGTTACGGACTCTGAGTAGTAGGTGTAAAGAAAGCAGAATCAAATTATAATAAGCCAAGTAGGAATTAAATGGTGGGAAAAAAAAAAAGGATATTCTAGGGGACGTGGGCTTCAATATGATGTCAAGAAGTGTGCTGAGCCACCAAAATAGGGTGGTGCAGAGATTTCCACTTGAGTGTCCTTTAGACATCTTTTCTTTGAGGGGCGTGAGGTCATGCCACGGGGAGAAGAGAAAGGGAAGGTATTCAGAGCATCCTCTCGGTCCCGTGTGCATACAGTTACTGTAATGTACACGGTCGTCAGGTTGTGACTGTCAGAATCAACCTTCAGACAGCACAGGCCACCTGGTGATGGGCACGGTGTGGCAGTATAGGCACGGCTCACACCCTGGAGGAGAGAAAAGTTGACTTGAAGGGCGGACATGGCAATGGCTCCTCTTGGCATCTTACAGAGTGAGGTGGCAAGAGATCTTGCTGAAAATGGAAAGGACAAAGGGAGAGGTCTGCATGTATTAAAGCTACCAATAGGGGCCTGAAGACCCTGAAGAGGGGTCATGAGAGGTGTAGTGAGGGGCGAAAATGAGCCAGACCCCCGTCTGTCTTAGCAGGACACCAACAGTTAACGTCTACAGGTGTTGAGTCTGGACACTAGTGTGACCCACTACTCAGGTGTGGGGGAACTCGAGGTAACGTAGGAGGTGAGGGGCACACAGAGGAGCCCTTCTGTGACCGTTGGCTTTCACCATGGGCAGAATTTCTTTGAATAAAAAATACATAGATTACATTTTATAATTTTAAAAATTAAACATACATTGAGACTTAAGTTCCCGGACTTAGCCAGATGCTAGGTCTCATCCAAGAACAATGTCACCTCAGGGTTTCATTTGTAATTCATCCCACTGGCTACGATGTTGCAAGAGAAATCTTTCTTCAAAGAAAATAAAAACATTTGATGTGTGAGCAGATTAATTCAGGAAGACTTCCAGAAGAATGGCCCCACTCAGGTGTGTGATCAGAAATTCTAATTTTCTGCGAGGCATCTGCATGAAGCATGAATATCTGTATGGGCGTTCTCAAAAATAAGGTTAAAATTAAAGTAATAAAATTAAAATGCAAAGATTAGGCCCAAATTAAATAAATATATACAGATCAGATGTTGTGCACATTTAGTCCTTTTTAAAATAACATAAAGCATCGATACTTGTATGATATATTAAGTTTAATTAGATATTTATAAGGAAGAAACACAAATAATTAGAAAGTGGACCAAGCTCCTGTAAGACGTTAAAGCAGCAAACCTTCTCCCTTTGGCCCCTGGAGATTAGATGCAACCCAGGCATTTGGCACTTGAGTAGAATTTGGCTCATTCTTCAAAGGTAGAGGTTCCTTCTGTTCTTGCCCAGTTTTTTTCCCTAAAGATTTTTCTTCCTCTAAGGATGATATGTCCCAGTCTTCATCGTCCACATCTGTGCACTAAAAGAAAAGGAGAGTAATGAACGTTTCATAAAGACGTGGTCCATGTTAGCGCCCCTTGGTCGTTCTGTTGGCTAGACTGAGCTGCTGACACAGAATGACTTGAATTTGGGGAATCTCGGAGGATTGCCCATCTGGTCATTTCTGGGAGGGAATGAAACGAACTTGGAAAGCTGAGTTTTGAAAGCAGACAGAACCACCTCTTTTATTGTTTTTGTTTTTTGTTTTTTGTTTTGCCATGGAAATGTAGGTTTCCTACCTCCTCTACCAACCATGAGTTTCCAAAATCCCAGAAACACTACGTTGTAGTAGTAAAGTAAGGGTGCTCCCCAAGTAGGAACTAGGCAGGGTCTGGGGCTCTTCCCTCTGTGATAATGTGACACTGAACTGCAGGAGACGTCACACAAGGGCCCTGCAGAAAAGGCCCCGACTGAAGGAGCACACATTTCTACTGCCCCTTTTCTAAGGAAGACACATTAGCTTTCTCTTGCTTGAGTGATACGTTTTGTCACTTTTGGCTTGTACAATACAAATAACACTACTAAAAGTAGTTTGACAAAATGCTCTGGGTCCCCAGATGGGCAGGAGAAGAGCTAAATCTAAGCAAGCAGTGACTTGGAAGGCCCACTGGAAGACCCAGTCGGCACAGATGAGCGACGCCCGGAAATACAACAGGAGCCCTCCATCCACAGAAACACTTCTGGTGTCCTGGCCTTGGGACCTCGGAATGTGTCAGGGCCTCTCCTCCCTTCAGGGAGAAGAGCTTGGGCTCTGCCCTCAGATCTCTGATGCATTTCTCCACCAACACCAGCTCCCAAGTGGGGCCAGACCTCGACAAGTCCCCATTTTACGGTCAGGTCATGCCGCCGACTCGGATCTGAGGCCCCAGGTTCTAGTCAGTCACACGTTTCTGTGTACAAACCGTCTACCTGCAAGTGTCAAGCCCGACATGTGACAGGCATTTGAAAACCTGTAGAACTTGATAAGCACATGTTGCCTTATTACCAGTTAGCACCCCAGTATCTTTGATTCTCTGCAGAATGGAAAGAAAGGCAAGATGGCAAGTGAGATAAGGTAAAAGTCTCAACCTCTGGCTACACCAAGTAACTAGGTTTGTTTAATATTTCACTACAAAAAGGACATACAATTAGTAAGGATAACCCGTTAAAAGATGAATTTCTCTGTGTGTGTCTAGCAAGCAAAAGTGATTTCACCTTCAGGTCTTCTTTCAATTCTTTCTTGATGAACGCCTCGGCAACGTTAATCCCACCAAATGGCTTGTTCACACTTCCGTGATTTGAAACAGTCTTTTCAACTTTTTCGGTCAGCGTTTTAATTGAGGTTCCTATGTGACCAACAGGAAATAGGTACAGTTAAAAAAAAAAAAA